ATCAACATCAAAATATATATGATTCTACCACATCAAGATCAAAACATACGATTTTCGATAAGATCATTGCATACATAAACGATTGCAAAATATAAACAATTCTCTTCTATCAATAAAACTACCAAAAACTCAGTGTCAATGATAAAACTCTGAATCGAAAATGGCAACATCACTAAAAATACCTTCAGTTTTTCCGCATTCACATCGCCAACGAACGTGCTCGGCTTCGAACCCGTTTCAAAGTCACTCGCTGTGAACAAATCCTCTTCATTCTCGCCACTATCCGCTTGTTGTTTCATACTGGACGATGGGAATTTTTTCGATTTCGTATTCCTACAAAATACACCCCCTTAGTTTCATTCTATTCAATGTGTATCTTTTCTGAACAATCACAAATATCACACGTCCTAAAACCTATAAATGATACATAAACAAAATGGTTAAAATATATCAGATATTCATTCCTGTTATTCACGAATACTACAATATTACAATCTCAGTTTCCTAACATTATGCCGTAAACACTGCGATTCCCATTAACAAATGTGAACACTTTCATCAACCAATATCATTTCATGATCGCGCACGAAAAGATTTCAAATCAAATCAGAACCTACTTATTCTCATCAACCTCTTCGATAATATCGCCACGTTTCTTTCGTTCCACCAACACCTTCTTCTTGATTGCGTTCTCGATCAATTTCTGCTCTTCTGCTCCCAACACGTTCTTCGCCGTGAAATCCGCTACCAAGAACGCTATCTCTGCTATAAAAACAAGAAATCAATCCTTTCAACACATCCAAACAACTTCACTTCATTTCACTTCAACTTATCCACCCGCTTCATACCCCTTAATACTATGACCACTCAATTCAACTGCATACAGGTACCAAACCAAAAAACTCAATTCCACTTCTCTATCTCTCTAAAAGATCATTCAGCATTGATACATATCACAATAAATTATTTTCAAAGATACTGATTTCCCAACGTCATGAGCAGTTACTTAGCCTATGAGCAAATCTCACATTTTGTCACGTTTAAAACCTCAAAAACTCTCTCAATCGATGTTCTTCATTCCAATGAAAGATATTCTTCAATCTTGTTGAAATGCAGTGTCAACATACACGGTTGGGTATGCGTATGGATGGCCACCAATAAGTCGGCAATTGAGGTGATCATTGGCATCGGTGCTTTAACGGCTGTCGACTTCTGGATCCTATCGAAGAATCCCGGTGGCAACAAACTGTTCGTTTCATTTTCCGCATCCACTGATGATTTCCTCCTGGCCAATTCACTGTCCTCTTCACTGCCCATCATTCCACTCCATAACTGATCATTAGCCGGTGGTGAACCAAAGCTGAAACACATCGAAGATAGAAGAGAGAGGATCGAATATTAAATATAATCTCAATCCCTCAATCTGATAAATACATCCTCAATCGCCATGCGCACTACCTCTCATAATTCCTTCCAAAACTGAAGAAACAATCGAAACAGACAGCAAATGGAAACGTCGAAAGAACAACTAGACTGAGAACAAAATGATAAAATGATCGATGAAATGTATAATGTCCTCTAGGATGAAATAAATAGAACTAACAGCAAATAGAATAATTCCGTTGAAGCAGAATAAAAACACTCACAAGTGTGGCACTGCTGTGCTCTTGCCCGATCCGCCGTTGTTCCTGCTCTCAACTTTCTGATGCTCCCTGTCTTCGTCGTGCTCTTGGTCCGTTCCGAACGAATCAACAAACGATGAAGTTGACGGTCTTACATGAACCATTGTCGGTGAAATATTACCCATGAATGGTGGAGGTGAATTCGAGGAATCGCCTTGCTGCTGACGTTCCTCCATACTGTACTCGAATTCACGCATTATTGTCGATGGTGATGGACTGCAAACAACACCACAAATAATACACAAATCAATCAACAACCTTCCTCGAAAAATCGATCACTGTCCTCAAAGAAATCGAATCAGCTCTAATGATTGCGGGAGAATACATATACGAGAACGAAGACAGCTCTATCGAATTATTTTTCCGATATGGGCGATAAGGGTACCAAAAACGATCGCAATCGTAAGAATTCTTATATCTAATGATAGCACAAACCTACACTCGTAATGTATCATAATGATTCCTTAAAGAGTGCAACAGACAATACAAAATTCAATATTTCACATTCATTTTTGCATAAAATGTCATACAAACAAGCCACAGAAATTCAACTAAGCACCTTCGATT